AATCCACCATGCAGCAGCAATGTTTCTGTTACTGTTAGTAAATGGGCTGTGTTTTGTGAATTCTTAGCAGAGAGGGAATGGCGAGGTGAAGTTTGTGTAGCAGAGTGGGAGATAGTAGGAAGTGTCTTTTAAGCAAAATGGTTTCAAAGGTTAAAAGTAAATGACTGTGCACATCTATGTGTTTGTCTCTATATGGAAAAAAACACTGGACAGTAAAATGTTAATATAATGAGAGAATTTAGATAAATATACAAACACAGAAACAGGAGAGTTCTAAGTAAAGATAAGGGTGGTATTTGAAAACTGTACAAGTGAATGAAGAGGTGTTTTTAGATGCAAACAAAAAGCATCTTGTGTTGGTAGAGCTGCTGGACACAATGGGCAGGGGACTTATGTAAGTAAACTGATTATACCTGTGTCTCGTCTAAATATCACCAGACTGATGAACTGTTGAAACTCTCAGGTTTGATGTCTTCTCTGGTATGAAATACATGGCAGCTTTTTAGGACATTTTTCCATGTTTTTGAGCTTAGTTTGGAATAAATGTACATTGCAGGACCTTGTTAAAAACATATTTAAGGAAAACTTCTTTAACACAGACCAGTACAGGATGTCTTCCTTCTTGTATACGCTGTTTTTAAAGTATCCCAATTATAACTGTGTTTGGTTCTGTTGTTTGTTTGGTTTTTTTTTTCTCCTGGTGATGGCTAGAAGAGGCAAGAATTAACCTTGCACCACTGACCTATCATCAGTACATTGGTCAGATAATGATGGTTGCCTTTTACAGGACCTGCCTTTAATCTCTGCAAAGACCAATTTGAGGTCTAGTGGTTAGAAATTAAGTTGGGATCTTTGAATACACATAGCAAATGAACATCAAGGTAAAGGAAACATTTAAGTGATGCAAAAACTTTTAGGGGCAATTCACTAGTTATTTAATGGTCCACAGCTTGTTTCCATTTGATTTACTCATGTGGTTTGTTAGGTCCTATGTGTGGTAGATGTGTTTCATAGAGATCTACTGACAAATGCTACTTGTAAAAAAGAAAGCCAAAGGAAAAATACGTTTTGATGAAAATTTTTTTGATTATCTTAAAATTCATTCCATCTGTATCTGTCCAGTGAGATAGTGTAACTTCTTTGTTCTATGAGGTAAACTTCCTCAGTGTTAGTGTTTTGTCACAAAATAGTTTGTAGGGCCAGAATTACGTTTATAGGGAAGAAAACAGTAGTTAGAAATGGAACAATTTAACACCTGATGGTCACCAAGTTAATGTGATATCTGGGGTTTTTTTTCTTTTGGCCATATCTGTACACAATTTAAAATTTACTACATTTGCCTTTTTTTTTTTTTTTTTTTTTTCCTGACAGGGAACTCTAAATAATAAATTTGTGGAGTTAAAATATTTTAAATGAGTGAAACGAAACTTTAATTGATAGTACCACTCTAATTCCAGTAATACATTGCAGGGTTTATTTTTGCCCCTAGAGAAACTCGGATAGTCCTCCTTGTCTGTGGGCTAAAATCCTAAGTGTAAACCTAGGAAGAGGGTAGGGAGCCTTTTAAAATTGGCTGGGGAAGGGGCAAGAACTTAGAAATCAATTGGCTGAGCTCAGGGGCTTGGAAATGACTGTGGTGTGTGTTTTGGCTTCTCATCTGGTATTCCTCCTGCCTGAAGAGTTTTCCAACATGGGACAGGAGTTTTTTGAAAGCAGCTGACTACTTCAGTAGTTTGGCAGATACATCCTTAAAAGCTGAAACAATCAGTCACAAAAGTTTGAATTTGCTTCCCAATTAAGCAGGGTTTTGTTGGGGTTTTTTTGATCCGGAAAATTAAAGTTGTCTCTGTAGGATTCTGCTTTAGGGTTTCGTTTTGTTGTTTTTAATAAGATCTAATTTTTTATGTCATTCAAAATTTACAGGAATTTAACTTGTCCTTTGATTGTAGTACAAAAGAAAGTGGCAACATGGCATAAATTTAGCAGTCCATCTTCTAAATGTCTTTGGAGAGGACTTTGGCAAGCAGCAAATAAAGGGGTGATCATGGCTAACTGGAAAGAGATTCCCTTGTGCTTTTTAATGGCAAAAATATTTTAGCTGTTGAAAAGATACTAAGACTAGGGGAGAAAGAAGTGGTAACCTGAGAGGAGAGTGGCATAAAATGTGTGAGAGGCTTATGTAAAGTGAATGATTGAGTGATCACTTGTTCTGGTCATTAAAAGTGTTCTTCCACTCTGCACATACACACACATCCCATCCTGGATGACAATAAAATTAGTCAGTATCTAAAGAGCAAGTTATTTCTGTAAGCCTCTCCGAGGGGAGGAGAGAATGGAAGAAGGCAAGCAGGAAGGATACATGATCCTAAGCCCTGCTGAGTTAAGTGGAGGAGGAACAGTGGTATAAACAAAGGTGTGCTAGTCCAGACCTGCCACAAATGGGAGAGGTAACACAAAGGGAGACATGAGCAGAGGCATTTTCAGAGAGAAGACATGCCTAGAGTTCCTCTTTTATGAGTAGATGAAGGCATCATGGTCATCCATCTGTTTACTTAAGGGGGATGGATTATACAACATCCTAGAGCAGTGGACTTTATTACCATTTTTCATAGTTTCTTCAGCTACCTTTTAACTTCACAAATTCACACTGAGGTTTTGCAGAAGACTGCTATTTGGCTTTGAAAATCCCAGGAAAGTTTGTCAAAAACTTGAAATACTAAACACAGGAAACTGACAATGTGACTTTCTTAATGAATTTGGATGCTTCTTGTCATAAGCTTTCTCAGTTTCTAAGTATGTAACCATATTACATGTTCTGTAACTACGAGTCATTACACCCTGTGGTGATCAATGTCTAGAAACAGATTACGAGGTCAAAAGTTTCCAGTAACTCCATGCAACACACCACCCATCCTGTCCTGAGTCAGTACCGTAACAGATGGAGCCCAAAGTCACAGACCAAACAAGCTCACTGGACATTTTATGGATATCTGTCTACATGTTACAGACCTTCCATGGGGAAAGGGTTGTTAAGGAAGATGTGTTGTGATAGTGTGGGACCTGAGCATGATGTAAATGGTATGCAATAAGGGATGGGTTTGGCTGGGATAGAGTTGAATTCTTCCCAGGAGCTCACATGGAGCTATGTTTTGGATCTGTGCTGAAAAGAGTGTTGATGACACAGTGATGTTTTATTTACTGCTTGACATACTGTGCAAATCTTAGTTGACAGAACTTTAATCACTTAAGTCTTGTTAGTTTGTCATTGACACACTCTCAATTGAGGAGTATCTCCTAATGTATATTCAACCATACAGCAGGGAAAGGGTTGGAGCATAGAGTCTCAAGTGTGACCTTTTTCTGGTGTGGTTTTTGGTTGGTTTTTTTAGGATTAGGTAAAGCTTATAATGTAGTTTGTGTAATAATGCTGGGGGTTTTATAGTCTGTTAATATTCAACTCTAACATGATTTGGACTCCAAGCTCCTATAAAGTCATACAAGAAAGGTTAGGGCATTTTAAATAGATTTATTTTTTTTTTTAAACCTTAAAACAAGAATCTAAATGCATTATTCTAGTGCTTTAATGAACAATTTGTCCATTTGTTATATATATATATTTAAAAAAAAAAATTAATGAAACTTACTCTTTCTAAAAGCTGTTTGATGTACATCCAGTTTAAAAAAATAATCTAGAGCATCATTCACATATTTCCTAAGTGATGTCAAAGCTGGCTGTTTGATTGATAGATTGATAAACTGATTGATTGGAGTATTGTTATGGTAAATATGTAAGTGGCACAAACTTAATTTTGCACATCATGTTTAGTTGTGTGCCAGCAATTATGTAAGAAATGTAAACAGTGAAGAAACTTAGTTGAAACTTGAATTGTATGTTACTGGTACTCAGATCTTCCCATGTTGCAAACAAGCTTCAGTCCATAACTTTGGCAATTTTCTTCTGTTAAATACAAGCTGCATAGTGGTACATTTTAAAACCTTTCTAAACACGCCTTCCATCTCTATGTGTTGCATTCATTCATTTCCAGGAGGTTCTGAACAAAAAATATTAAGAAAGGAAAGGCTTGGCCTTCATTGAGGAGTTCCTGCATTTGCTGATGTGCCCTGCTTTATTATGCTTGACCATCTGTGTGTTGGCATAAATGGATTTTTGTAAATCACAAACTATTCTTGATTATTATCTGAAAAACTGATTAAATGTTGCTAAGATTATCTTCCATGTCACCTGCAAGAAAAATTATTTTTAAAAAGGTCATCTTTTCCATGCAAAACCTTAAAATAAAACTGATTTTGTCTGGTCTCAAATAACAGCTGCTCAGGAAACAGGTTTTTTCCGTGGTTTTGGTGGAAGCTCCTATGTTTTGGTTCACATCTTAATGCTAAAATCTCAACCAGTCATCTAGCCTCGAGTAGTGGAGACAAGCCAGAGTGTTTTGCTATGGCAGGAATAGAAGAGTCAAGGTCATCTGCTTGATGACTCCCTTTCTTCTAAATGCTACATAGTGGTAACTTTGACATGTTATCACAGTGTAAGTCCTTGACGCTGTTCTTCTCTTGGGGAAGTTAGTGTGCGTTGTCAGTACGTTAAGTTCAGTGACCTACCCACAGAGGCTTATGTATGGATGTGTAGGAATACAGCTCTTGCTAGTGAATCAGGAGAGCATGCATTCGTGTGTTAACTAATTCTGCAGCTCAGCTGTTGTTTACAGTTTGGTAGCTATGTATAACTAGTACAGCCAATTCAGTCCTGGGGAGTAATACATATTTAAAACAAATGTATGCCATTAAGTTAACGTAATACTCTTTCTTCAACCCTCTAATTTGCTTATCAATTTGTAAAAATGCGCCATGGTCAACTGTTGCATGTTCACAGTGCAAATCTTTGACCTGTTTTCTAAATGCAGAGACTGTTGTATTGTGCCTATTTGCCCCCATCAAGATAGGTATTTATGATCTGTATTTGTGTATTGATTGCCAGGTTTCTTTATTCAGATGAAGTTCAAATTGGTCCAGAAACAGTCATGACTACTTTATACACTGCTAAAAAGTATGCAGTCCCAGCCCTGGAAGCACATTGTGTGGATTTTCTAACGAAGCACCTCCGAGCAGATAATGCCTTTATGCTGCTTACTCAAGTAGGTAAATCTAAGCTTAGTTTTGGTTTACTAGGGAAGTTGGTATTTGGAAGGAAATTACTAAATACTGTTTCACAGTGGGTCTGCTACCACATAGCCTGATTTATACATGAAAATTTCTAGTTGGCCTGTTAGCATTTTTACAGACTCAGCTTCTTAATAATGTAGAATAAAGGCTTTTCTTTTATCTATTTTTCTTATGCAATGGACTGAGACGTTTCAGATGGAGCCAGCTTATTTTACAGTGTATTTGCATTAATCTCTCAATTGTTTTATGTTAAGACTGTGCTTTAGTTCTCTATAGTGGCTTCAATGTGTACTTTTTTTAGTTGTATTGCTAAAACTACAAACATAAGCACAAAGAGAAACTTGCATTCAGTGAATTCTCCTTAATTATGTACTGCTTTGCTCTTTAAGTTATAAACACAGACACAAAGTACTTGGATAAATCAACCTAATTTAATTTAGATCTATACTAGAGTAAAAATACTTGCTTTTTAAGAATAGTAGTTTGTCAACTTTATGATTAAGATGTATTTCTTTACCTTTAGGCTCGTTTGTTTGATGAACCTCAGCTTGCTAGTCTTTGTCTTGACACAATAGACAAAAGTACTATGGATGCAATAAGTGCAGAAGGCTTTACTGATATTGATATAGGTAAGTTACTTTGTGTGCCCTAAGCATTAGACTTCTGAAGGGAATTGTAGGGTGTGGGAAGACTTCAGTACAGTAACCTGGGATAGTTTGCCTCCCCCATCTGAGTATGTAGAGTTCCAAGCACATTTTATCTCCTCGGCATGGTGTAGTTTGCTCCCCCCCCTTAACTTGACCCACCTTTGCACCAATGTGATGGCCAGCTGCAGATCTCTGAGTTCGGACAGTAGCACCTGCATTACATCTGTGAGTTTGCTGATGAGCAGAACAGGACACTGCATATGTATGGTGTGTTAATCAGTGCAGGTTTTATTATCCACCCCTGCAGTGCTTTCCTTTGAGTTTCACTCCCAAGCAAGGTTACAGTGTGTGGGTCCCCATTTGGTTAGTGCTGGTGTCACGGGGCTTCCACTATGGTAACACTGCTGCTGTTAAAGACAAAGCTTTCACTTGTTAAGTGTTGTTCCTTGTCCCTGAGGGATCCACACCTGCTTTTTGCACGTAACAGAAGTCATACTGTTTTGTTGCCACATGGTACTTCTCTTCTGTTCAGAGTTGCACAGCTCAGGTAAAATTTGTGAAGTCTGTGTTTAAAAAAAACCCCAAAACTAAATTGGTGGTTTCTGTGTTACATCTTTTGTGAAGAGCTAGCAGTTGTACATTTACTTACTGAATTTCATTGATGCTAAATGTGTTTTAAGATTTTAATCACAATTCAGCTAGATTGTGCGAAAAACTCAGCTGGAGGAAGGTATGCCAGCTGCTTAAAGAAATTGTGAAGTCATTGTCAACTCCTGTTCAGTGGGATTTGTACCCAGACTGAGTGTTTATCTCTGCTTTTGCTAAGTCCCAGTCTATTTTGACTTACCAGTATGTTTTCTATGACTGTAAACATGCCGTGCTTAAATTCAGTGCGTATAAAAATTTGCAAAGAAGACTCAGAATATGAAAACACGTTTTTTTCAGGTTTGTGTTCTATGATGATTACTGCATACCTGTTATTCATAAAATGTTAGAACAAGTAAGAAATACAGGAAAACTTGGTCTTTTTTTGAGAGTACCTTGCCTCACATCCTGTGTTCCATCTTCAAGCTCTGTGGGTGGCAAATACGTCAGTGTTTAAAATCACTTTCATGTATCTTTAAACTGGTTTTGTGTGCACTGCTGCTGCTTGTGTCTATAGCTGATCCAGATTGGCAGGTGGCTACTCAGATGAGAATGTGACAGTGTCATCACGAATAACTTGTTTTTTCAGTAGTGTGCATTCACCACTTGGTCATTTCCAGTTTTGATCTTACCCTAGCCATGGAAATTCTTCAGGATATTGGATGTCACTGCATAGATTATATATGGTCGCACACTTCAGAATTAGGAAGAAAGTTCATGTACTGTCTTCATGGCAGGAAGTTTAGTTCATAGTAGGATTTTTTTAGTTTGGAGTCTATAGACCATTGGGAGATTTCTCTATACGGAAGATAAGTTGTCTTTGATATCTTACTATGAATGTTAGTGTTTACTTAACATTTTAAGCTTACTTAATCTGTAGTACTGTTACTGCTTTGGATGAAACTTACCTGGATCTGTTAACCTTCTTTTCTATAGACACACTGTGTGCAGTTCTAGAAAGAGATACCCTTAGTATTCGAGAAAGTAGACTTTTTGGAGCTGTTGTTCGCTGGGCAGAAGCAGAATGTCAAAGACAACAACTGCCTGTGACATTTGGAAACAAACAGAAAGTCCTTGGAAGAGCTCTTTCCTTAATCCGTTTTCCATTAATGACTATTGAAGAGTTTGCAGCAGGTGAGTTTTGGGGTTCTTTGTCTTACTGTTAGACCATATCTCTGCACAGCTCATCTGTGAGTGCTTAAATGCTTAACAGTCTCTTCTGTTATCAGTGTTGTACTAATAAAAGTTGTGATGCACAAATGAAAGCAAAATATTCTGCAGAATATGCTCTGGCTGTTGGAAAATACTGTCATCTTCAGTTTGCCAGTATATGTGGTTTAGATACAACAGTTGGACTAATTCTTCAAAGCATCTTTTAAGTCTTTTCTTTTCACAGGGCCTGCTCAGTCTGGAATATTGTCAGATCGGGAAGTAGTAAATCTCTTTCTGCATTTTACTGTCAATCCTAAACCTAAAGTAGATTATATTGACCGACCAAGATGTTGCCTTAGAGGAAAAGAATGCAGCATTAACAGGTTCCAGCAAGTGGAGAGTCGCTGGGGCTACAGCGGAACAAGTGATCGGATTAGGTATGGCTTTTGAAACTGTTTGAAGGAGAGAAAGAGAAGTGTGGGAAGAAAGGGAACAAATTGCTTAATTTTGACTTTCTGTCATAAGACACCGTAACAAACATGCTGGTTCTGTTTTGGGAACATTTGATCTTTTTCTTATTTAAAAATAACTCGTGCTGTTGCACACATAAAATACAAAGTAGCAAAGAATACATTTCAGGAATGTTGGGTGCGTTCTAGAGTATTTGGATATTAGCTGCATATTCCTTTTTAAAATACCAAGTCTTTGATATGGTTTTATTCTGGAGATACTAAAAGGAATCTGGTTATTTTTTGTTTATTAATACTGACTATCTTGGGGGATTAGCAAAGCTTTAACCTGTAAAGCTGATACCTTACAAAGCATTTTCTTACAGTTGGAATCTAAATAGAAACTGTTAGGAAAAAAAAAAAGTATTTTTCGGTTTACTTCCCTACTGTTCAGTGGGAGTCCTTTTCCTACTTGTCTGGGAATAAGGTAACACACCCATCACATGTGTTTAAATTCCTTTCTTGGCTTGTGTCTTACTAGGTTCACGGTTAATAGAAGAATTTCCATAGTGGGATTTGGATTATATGGATCTATTCATGGACCCACAGACTATCAAGTTAATATACAGGTAGAGTATTTTCTGTTTAAATAAGCTTATGCAGAAACTACACTTGTAGTACTGGCAAAAGGTTTAGTGTATATTTTGGTAGGAGTGATAAATAGGCCAGGAATCTAACCTGTGTTTTGTTCCCAGCAGTGGACATAAGAGGATAACTAGGGTAAAAGTAAGAACAACATGAAACTTTCTCCTTTTCTGCTGTATTCTCCCATCCTTCAATCATTTTCAGTATAGGCTTCCCGAAACCAATTTTGATCTCTCTGTTTAGTAGCTCCTGGTGAATCTTTCTTCAGGATACCTGTCTAACCTTTAATTCCTGTAAGCTTTCTGCAGAAGAATTTCATAGCTTTGTAATCTGTTCAGTTGTGCACAAAGTCTGTCGTTTAGTAAAGTTTCTAGTAATTTGGGAAGGAGATCTCATCAACAGCTCCCTGTAATAGGGGACACAACATGTAGTGACTGCTAAAAAAGCCCACTGTGTCATCAGGAAGATAATAAAAACAAGATAAAAGGTGACATTGTATTGCTGTGTGAAAGCCAGGTATGCCCACATCTTGAGGGTTGTGTGCAGTTCCCAATCTCACACAGTAGAATTAGAAAGCAGAGAAAAAGGGTAATTAAAATGATTAAGGGTATAGAGCTGCTGCTTTATGAAGGGAGACCAAAAAGGGTAAGACTCTTCAGTTTGTAGGGGAGGTATGAACAATGCTTCTAAAATGATGAGAACGGTGGATGAAGCAAATGCAGAACTGGTGGTTATTCACCATACCCCAGAATATTACAGCTTAGAGCCTCTTACTGATAGCAGAAGATCAAAACATGTAAGAGTATATTTTTCAATGCAGATACTGAACATACTGTCACAAGAAGGAGACACCCTGTTTTGAATTTGGTGGTATTTGAACATGTTCGTTCATCAATAGCAGATCCATTAGAAGATTCCAGAAGGAACAGAAGGGGGATGTGCACTGTAGCACCCGTAGCAGAACAGTTGTGGGTGCTGGGGGAACAGACTGCAGAGCCCAGACTTGTGTGCTAATCCAGAGCAACATCTCTTGCCACTGTCAGAGCATATTGGACCATTTGTCTGATGCAAATGGGTATTAATTACATTCTTACCTCACCTGGTACATGTATTGGGGCTTAGAGGCTTGTCCTTGCCCAGAGCTTTTTGGGGAAGGCTGACAGCTACTTGCTACTGATTCAGGTCTTAGGTGGAAGGTTGTATGCTACTGTTACTGTAACTACTGTAAGGTTGCTTCAGTTTGATGTTTGCTGAAAACATTGTTCCAGCATGGCAATCCTCCTGGTTCCTTCTGCTGATAAATGGTGTATTTGTATTACTGTTCTCTAGGCTCCTGTGTGAAGACCTTATCCTGCTGCTACTCATTCTATATCTTTGTGAATCTTTATAGCTTCATGTGTGGTGTTTATAGACACCAGAGGGTCTGTAGGGTGCTTTGCTACTGCTCTGTTGAAAGAATGATTTAACATGGGGCTTGATGCTTTTAGTTACCTGTTCCTAAACCTTCTTTTGGCCTGCTTAATTGTACTTTTTTACATTTTAATCTGTCAGTTTGACCCCTTCTATTCTAATTTGGATACAACTTCGTATTTCTATAGGATGCTCTTTCCCCCTTTTCTCAGGCCTTTTTGAATTGCCAGTACTGTACTTGGGCATGGGATGTCCTTCAGATATCTGCATGCTTCTTATAAGGATTTGATTTTCTCAATTGCTCCTTCTTTTGAACAAGCTTCCTTGTTTTTTCTCTTTTTGAAACATAGCACAGCTGTGGTGGATTTGCTTTTTTTCACATGGGAGTGTTGACTCGAAGTACATTATAGACACTGTTACATAGTGTTTCCATTATGAAATTTTGAATCTGATCCTGCTCATCAGCCAGGACCAGATCAAGGGTTGCGTGTCTCCCTACTGAGCAAGTGGTTAGCAAGCTCATGAAATGGTCAGTGATAGCATCTAAAAATGTCACCCCTGCTTTATGTCCTGATATGACACTTGCCTGATCTGGGTGGGTAATTGAAGACACACTAAAATTGTATTTCCTGCTCTTGTAGCCCGATTGATCTCTCTTAGCATGTTGTGGTCAGGGTTGTCTTCTAGTAATATTGACCTAGCACTGTATTTTTTTTCAAGTATGGAATTTCAGTCCATTTGAATTCCCTTTCTTATCGAGATGAGTTTTTATTTGATTCTAAGCTTTCTAACAGGGTATTAGCATTCTGTGACTGCCACAGTTACACTGTTCTGTGTAGTTCATAAGCTGGTACTATCACTTCACATGGATTTATTAGGTGTGTGGGAAGTGTTGTGAAAGAAACAATCTGTGACTTCATTTAGGGACAGAAATTCCATTGTTCCTATCTTATTTCAAAGACTTCTAGCATGTGCTGGAACTGCTGTTTTAGTTCATTTCTGGGCATCTTATTAAAATGACAATTTACTAGTCTGTTTCCTATTTGATGATTACTATTCTCTGACTGTCCTGTACTTAAGGATAGGAATTCTGTGTCTGTCTCTTAAGAGAAAAATGTTGTGCCTTTCTTCTTAAGATGTTCCAAACAGAATGTATCTGGAATGTTGTTTTGAAGGAATTTTTGGCTTTTCCACATTCCTCAGTTTAAAAGCTAATTTCGAAATTCCTTGATTTGAAGTAGCATCAGTTTAGTTTTCTCAAACTATACACTTATGTAAATGCATAACATAGTGCACTAGATAGGATCTTTAGAATAAAACAGTTGGTACTGAGGGCCTAGCAGCCATATCATACATATATGGGGATTTTTACTTTGCATTAACTTGTTTGATTCTCTTGGCTAAATTCCCGTTAGCAGATGAGATACTCTGGTGTGCTTCTTCACCATTTTTGCTGGGTGCATTTAATCTGAAAATAATTCAGTTCTTGCAGGGCGAACTGAAACATATTAAGTGGGAATGATCAAGAGATTTCACTTGAAAGGGATGCTCCTGATCCTAATTGAAAGGGTAGTGTACTTTTACAGGTCAGATGAAGGCCATCCACCTTATACAGGTTTTCTTTATTCTGGAAGTATCCTCAGTTCCTGATGGATCTGAAACTTTATTGTCACAATCTTTTCAGACAGGTATTTAAGTCCTGGGTGTCTACCTTTCTTCTTGGACCTGCATCAGTACTAACAGAGCTTCAGAGAATTAATACTTGTCTTAAAATAGTGATAAACATATATTGCAAGTAAATCTTTTATGTGAAAGGGGCTTAGGCCTTCAGCATTATAAATGTTAACATTTCCATTGGTTGTGGCTGGGATAAAAATTAAAGCACATTTTGCCTAGATGCATTTTGCTTCATCTCATTTGTACAATATTAAAATTACGGCAATTTAATAATAAAATATTAAAACGGATTACTTGTTAGTGCAGCAGTCAAGAAGTGTTCATGTTACTCTAAAGCTCTAATATCCAACTGCTGCAAGAGGTTGTTCGGCAGCATGGATCAGGATTGCTATCCAAAAGAAGTGAGTTACCTGCCATTACTGCATCTTAGCTAGTGATTCCTATTTGCCACTTAAAATTGAAGATGTAATGGGAGCGTAATTTTTATACTGAGTCTAGAACATAAATTGTATAAAACATAGCAGCACAAGTTCTTGTTTGTTCTCAGATTGTATCATTAACTGCTTACGTTATCTGTAAAAACTTGTTTTCTAGATTAGCCACAGCCAGCAAATGCGCTTCCCTCATGTGGGCTGTGTAGTTGTACCAAGATCAGCAGATATAAGTACAGGAGTAGACGTAGTATATGAAGGTCAGAAGATGAATGTATAAGAGCTATTCTTCATCTCCCAAGCAAAGAATATAACCTGGTTGGAGCAGAGTTGAACAGCCTGTGTGAAACCCGCAGGCCATAGTTCAGCACACTGCTGGGTCAACCCTAGTGGTATCGGGACATTACACCTACTTTCCAGTCCTGAGATTGCACTATCCTTGCAATTAAACTGGGTGGAGTAGGCAAGTGTAATCTTCTAACATGAATACAGTAAGAATCTTTCTCAAGCTTATAAACCTAAAAATACTATTTTCTTATTTTTGTACAGATAATTGATTATGAGAAGAATCAGACGCTAGGACAGAACGACACTGGATTTAGTTGTGATGGAACAGCCAGTACGTTCAGAGTTATGTTTAAAGAACCTATAGAGATTTTGCCAACAGTTTGCTACACAGCTTGTGCAACCTTGAAAGTAAGAATGCCAAACAGTACAGAAGAAAAATGTTACTTTGGTGCAAGAGTTGTTCTGTTAGCTCTCTTCTGATGGGAAAGTATCTTCTAAATCTTGGATTTATTTTAAGTTTAGTGCTAAAGAAGGATATAGTTAAACTCCACAATAACTTGTAAGACTGCTATCGCTTTACTGCGCCACAGAACAGAATGTGCCTTCCCACTTTCTGGCTGACGTAAGAGTTAGGATGAGTCCTAATGGGAGTTGCTGGTTCTGTGTGGGCAAAAGCACTATCTAGAATATGTAATCTGGCAGCTCTCTGTGAAAATTAAAGTTTAAATTTCTTTTATTGAGCATATTCTAACCACTATAGCTACAGAAAACTAAAAGATTTGGGTTTTTTTAATCACCATTATTATTACTTTTTTATATACTAGTGCTGCAGTATAGGAAAGAATGATTTGTTCTAGGAAAGTATCCCTTTACTGTTATGGACAAATTTATTCAGTATTTTCTCAAAAGTCTTTTCATATTCTTTTAAATATAATTCCCCATATGGGAATCAAAATTTATTTATTACTAGTTGGATAAAATCAAGTGGTTTAAGTCTGCTGCCAGAAAAATTTTTTGTTATTTAGACATAAGGTACTCACTTCTGTTATCTGTGATCTTGTGTATGACTTATGATGTGGGTATGGACATTTTATACTATTGAAATACCCTAAGTCAGTAGTGCTTGAACTTCAACATTTTAGGGTCTTGCTGCCCACTTCCGTTCAGTTGCTAATCTCTTGTGATGTTTTTCAGGGTCCTGATTCCCACTATGGAACAAAAGGCTTGAAGAAGGTGATCCACGAATCTCCTACTGCTAGTAAAACATGCTTTGTCTTTTATAGTTCACCAGGTAACAACAATGGTACATCAATAGAAGATGGACAGATACCAGAAATAATATTTTATACATAATTTCACATGATCATCTCAAATGCGTCAGCGTATCAGTCAGTGGACTGCAGCTCACTATTGGCAGCAATTAAAAGATTATGCAGAATTACATGAATGTATGAGAACAAAACTTGTTTGAGAGGTACCAGAAAAGCTCATCTCTGCATAATTATTGGCAGAATGTAATTTAGCTTTTCCTCTTGACAAAACAGCAAGTGGAATAAGTACTCTGTATATTGAAAAGATTGTTTTAAATAGTATCTTGTGATTAATTCCTTTGTATTTTCACTCCTTCATTTCTCATGTAGTAAAATTTTCTTTTTTTTTTTTTTTTTTTTTTTAAACTGGAAAATCCTTACTCTTGATGACCTTGTTGTGTATGTTTTCCCCAACCTGTCCTAAAACAACAGTAAAGCTGCTGCTGTCATCCCAGCTTACACTTCTTTTCAAAATGACCTCGGAATGACCCCGTGGACATGAACTGCTACTATTTGTTTGGTTTTGGAGGTGTTTTTTGTGGGTATTTTTTTGTTTGTTTTGGGGTTTGTTTGGTTTTGTTGGGTTTTTGTTTGGTTTTGGGGTTTGTTTTTTTTATTTGTTTGTTTTCGTCTTTAGGTTTTTTGGGTTTTGGTTTTTTTTTTTTGGTTGGTTTTTTGTTTGGGGTTTTTTTTTTTGTTTTTTTTTTTTTTTTTTGGAAGTACATCAGCAAGGCTGGATTCCTGTTGCTGTCATTTTGTCTTTTTGGATGAGCCATGGAGAACTAACGGAGTCAGCACGGCAGAGCATACCTGCAGCTGCACTGAAGAAATCCCAAGTCAAATTCAGCAACAAATGAGTCTTTCCAGAATCTCTCTTAATTCAGAAGGGCTGTTTTGGAACACAGAGCTGGTTATGGAAATAGCCACTGTATATACGTATGTGCCTACCAGAAAATGTACAGTGTGAAAATGAGAATCCAAGACTTCTAATGATAGTATTTTATCACTGGGCATTCTAATACTAAAAAATTAGTATGAACTAAGGATTATTTGTGTGCAGCTAGTTTTGCAGATTGCATACAATAATTTCATGCAATTCATGTATGTATATAGTATCCAGCGTCTTGCAATATGTACCGTGTTGTAGTAGAATGTCTCCATGTACAAAACGTTGTCCCTTCCCCCGAATTACTCTGAAGTCATCATCTGAGAACACAGGAGGAAAAAACCCAAACATGTCGTTTCTCTTCCCTGATTTCTCTTTAAGTGCCTGCTCCAGGTCTTAGGTCTCAAACCACAGTCTTCCCAACAAGCCCCGTGTTTCGAACCAGCGGCTTTGCACGGGTTTTGCCCTCTACCCCTGAGCGGAGCTCTTTCGCTCGGTCGCGCTGCGAAGCGCGGTTGCGGACGGG